AATGACGTTGCTTCAACGTAATTCGCATCTTCGTCTTCTTCTTCGTTACGTTTCTCTATCTCTCTAACTTCAATCCAACCACCATCCTCCGTCGTAACCCACTCTGGCTCGTCTCCGGCGAGTTTCATGATCCGATCAGACGGTAAGAAAATCGAAGAATTTGCAAATGGGTCTTCTTGATCTTCCTGAATTAATCGACTTTTCGAGGTTTCGCATGAATCCCAGAAACCTTGATCCAACACAGTACTAGGAGAAGAAGAATTCAAACAATCATGAATTTGAGATTCTTCTTCGTCGTCTTCCTCGTCGAGAAACGGATGTTGAAGCAATTCTTCAACTACCCATCTCTGTTTTGGATCTTTTCTCAAACAATTCTTCAAAAAGTCTTTACCTTTCTCCGATAAACACTCGGGAATCTCCGGCGACTCACCGGTGAAACCAATCTTGTAAATCGCTGCAACGACGTCGTTTAGCTCCGGCCATGGACTTAACCCAGTAGCCATCTCTATCACCGTACACCCTAAAGCCCATACATCAGCCGGGAAACTCTGTTCTTCACCACGCGCTACCTCCGGCGACATAAACGCCGGTGTACCGGAAAATTCTAAATTCACGTTCTCCTCCACCGTTTTAGCACAACCCAAATCGCCGATCTTTGCGATTTCTCCTCCGATCATAACGTTCTGGCTCTTCACATCGCAATGGACGATTCCTCGATCGTGTAGATACGTCAAACCTTTTAATATCTGACGCGTATAGGATCTAATCGCCGGCTCCGGTAAATTCCCGCCGGAATGCTTGATCAAATCGTGAATACTCCCGCCGGAAACATATTCCATCAAGATGTTATACATCGATTTGTCGTTCTCTATCGTTAAACCAGACCCAATGTACTGGACTATGTAAGGAGAGCTCAAATTCGACAAAATCTTTTGTTCTCTCTGTAAAAACTCCGATGATGAAAACTCGGCGGATTTGACGGCGAAGAATTCACCGGAATTTGTGATTGCTAGTGACACTGTGGCGGTTGAGCCTCGTCCTATGATTGGTCCTCTTATCCAGTTCTTTTCCTCCATTGAAACAGAGCAAGAAGAAAACAGAGAAGGTAATAAAAAAC